AACTATTGTCATACATTGATTAAATTCTGTCATGGTGTATGTTTTTGCCATAGAGTAGAACAACTCAGTTACCCTTTGCTGACTTTTTTTGAAGTTTTTCATTATGTTTTGCAGTAAGTGCCACATATACGCAAAATGAGGTACTTCATCATAGACTCTCGAAGCTGCCTTAATAATGCTTGCATGCCTATCAAAAATGATACACATCTCTAATCTTTGACCGAATGCGTCTCTGAATTGCTCAAAAAACCACCTCCAAGATGCATCATTCTCTGAATCGACAATGGCATAAGCAAGTGGCAGTATACTCCCTGCACCATGTACAATTTGTTTAATACAATTTTAATACATTTTTACTGCAATTATAATTTATTTTTAATTTATAGTTCAGAAATTCAATATAGAAAATACTAGTATCATATTCGAAAGTCTCACCTGTTGTATCTAAGGTATTATCGGTTAGTAGTGTCCCTTTGTATGCTCATTTTAAGAAAGTTCCATCAACAACTACAATTGGTCTACAATATTCCCATCTTTTTATCGAGGTGAAGAAAGCTAGCATATAGAAAACGGTCATCCTCTGATTTGTGCAATCTTATATAAGAACCAGGGTAAGTTGCCTTTAGTATGTGAAAGTAGCTTGGCAACTTTGCATATGATTGAATTGGATCACCCCAGACTAATTCAAGAGTTGCTTCTTTAGCTCTCCAAGCTTGCATATATGTGAGTCGCACACCATATTCAGCTAACATGTCACGTTGTATATCTTTTGGTGTGTAAATAACATCTGGTTCAGCACATTTACCCACAATAATACTCCCAACAACACACTTAGTTGCTTGCCTTTCCGATAATGAATTATGTAGCAACAAACATGTGTGTTCGCTTTCAAACTCTCTAATCTTGAACATTTGAGATTTTTTCAAGCTTGAAGCTCGTAAACTCCAACTACAGTTTTCTCCTAGGCACTGTATCGAATAGTTGTTGAAAAAAAATTAATATACAATCAATAATTTGAAGTGACTTGAATTTAGGTCTTACCTGATTGAGCTTGATCTTGTTGTCTTGAATTGAAAATGCTCAAGAATGGAATGTCTTTTTAGTGCACTGATGAGGACATATTTATTCTTATACACTTGATCTTCCTCAAATAAAGAGTGATTGGGATTAACAATGATGTCTGGTGCTAATTCTTCTAGCTCATCAACTTCCTCACATGATCTAAAGCCAATTAACCCTATTGCTTCACCAATACCATTAAATGTATTAGAGAAGTATGAATTGTGTATCACCCTCATATCTTCTGAAGTGTCTGAACATAATAGTGAAATAAGTGCAGAATTAGTCTCCAAGTTGACTGGTTCAGTTGTTGTGACACACAAAGGGTATCTTGCCATATCTCGATGTTCCTTTTGGTTTCAACATATACTTTTACCCCCATATCATTATGAATTTGAATTGGAGGAGACCTTTCATCAATTTTATATCTGATTTCAACTTTACTTGTTGATGTGTCTATTGACAATTGAGTAGCAATTATAGAAACGAGGGTGGCAAACGTTGATTCCGTATTTATCAACACACCATCTGCCAAGTAATTAATATATTTGTTGCTAGGATCCCATCGTCCATTGAAGTAAAGCAGCACAACCAGATTAGTTATATTTTTTTTCTGCACATTATTAAAAAGTGTATTACACAACACTAAAGTTGAATTAGTAAAAAGAGAATCAAGCATGAATTAAACAAGTAATTACTTGAAAAGATTAGTGTATATACATCCTTCCAACACACAAAACTCAAACTGGTGTGATAAACAAAAAGAAAATGGAAGCAACAAAGATGAGCAGCAAGAAAACAAAAGATAGATGAGCATTTTTATTGGGGTGTGAAAAGATCCAGAACTGAGGGAGTACATACCAGATATCCATACCCATAAGAGTCCTCACCAGTTTGATCATTGCAAAACATAAGCATCTGGACTAAAAGCTAAAAATACACTTGTGGAAAGAGTTATCGTAGTTGAAAACATCCATGTAACAACACTTTGGACAACAAAGTAAGGGACTCTTTCTATCCAGGGAAGAAAACTGAATCGAAGAGCTAGATACTAATACAAAGCCTGAACTAAGAAACTTCAACACTACGACAAACAAGGCTACTCCATGAAAGGGAGACTTCACTGATCTTGAAAGACCCAACAACAACAAGAACAAAAAGAAGTTAACAGTTAAAGTGCCAGAAGCCAAACCCATACCACATAGAACAGATGACTAGAGATGCCAGACTCAACAACTCCCCTGCCAGTGCCTGGTGATATCCAAATTGCAGTGCAAGCACAAGCACCAAAATGACAAAGGAATAGTGTGCACAAGGGAAGGACGAGAGAGTGTTGTATAGATTGAATTAAACTTGAATCTATTATGAATTAAGCAAGTAAATCAATCAGAAGAGTGAATCAAGAAATAATTTAAACAAGTCATCAAATCATAACAAATCAACCAACAAACTGCAAAAATGAATTAAACTTGTATTAAAAGTGTATTACACGTATTAAAGTTGAATTAGAAGAGTGAATTAAGAAAGAATTTAGACAAATAACTAAGGAAATGACGAGAGAGTGTTATATAGATTGAATTAAACTTGAATCTATTATGAATTAAGCAAGTAAATCAATCAAAAGAGTGAATTAAGAAAGAATTTAAACAAGTCATCAAATCATAACAAATCAACCAACAAACTGCAAAAATGAATTAAACTTGTATTAAAAGTGTATTACACTGTATTAAAGTTGAATTAGAAGAGTCAATTAAGAAAGAATTTAAACAAATAACTAAGGAAATGACGAAAGAGTGTTGTATAGATTGAATTAAACTTGAATCTATTATGAATTAGGCAAGTACATCAATCAAAAGAGTGAATTAAGAAAGAATTTAAATAAGTAATCAAATCATAACAAATCAACCAACAAACTGCAAAAATGAATTAAACTTGTATTAAAAGTGTATTACACTGTATTGAAGTTGAATTAGAAGAGTGAATTAAGAAAGAATTTAAACAAATAACTAGGAAACGACGATAGAGTGTTGTATAGATTGAATTAAACGTGAATCTATTATGAATTAACCAAGAAAATCAATCAGAAGAGTGAATTAAGAAATAATTTAAACAAGTAATCAAATCATAACAAATCAACCAACAAACTGTAAAAATGAATTAAACTTGTATTAAAAGTGTATTACACTGTATTAAAGTTGAATTAGAAGAGTCAATTAAGAAATAATTTAAACAAATAACTAAGGAAACGACGAGAGAGTGTTGTATAGATTGAATTAAACTTGAATCTATTATGATTTAAGCAAGTAAATCAATCAGAAGAGTGAATTAAGAAATAATTTAAACAAGTAATCAAATCATAACAAATCAACCAACAAACCGCAAAAATGAATTAAACTTGTATTAAAAGTGTATTACACTGTATTAAAGTTGAATTAGAAGAGTGAATTAAGAAACAATTTAAACAAATAACTAAGGAAATTACGAGATAGTGTTGTATAGATTGAATTAAACTTGAATCTATTATGAATTAAGCAAGTAAATCAATCAGAAGAGTGAATTAAGAAAGAATTTAAACAAGTCATCAAATCATAACAAATCAACAAACAAACTGCAAAAATGAATTAAACTTGTATTAAAAGTGTATTACACTGTATTGAAGTTGAATTAGAAGAGTGAATTAAGAAAAAATTTAAACAAATAACTAAGGAAATGACAAGAGAGTGTTCTATCGATTGAATTAAACTTGAATCTATTATGAATTAAGCAAGAAAATCAATCAAAAGAGTGAATTAAGAAAGAATTTAAACAAGTCATCAAATCATAACAAATCAACCAACAACAGCAGAGTACTTGACCTCACACACCTATAAACTTCAAAACTCTTCTCCAAAACCTCCTCGTTCATAAATTCAACATATCTTATCAAACACTCCCACAACCTCTCCACAAAAGATCTAGCACACTCAAAAATGAATTTAACTTGTATTAAAAGTGTGTTACACTATATTAAAATTGAATCAGAAAAGTGAATTAAAGTTGTATTACACAAATGCTAACAAGTGAATTAAACTTGTATCTATTGTGAATTAAGCAAGTAATTCAATACACATCATTGCTCGAAATTCATTCGTCTTGAAATTGATCACGTATAGCCGAAAAAGAGAATTAAGCTTGAACTAAGCAAGTAACTAATGACATGCAATCGAATTTAAAACTTCTAACCTTTCAAACTCAACTCTCTGCCCGAACTTGATTCATCTCGAAATTGATCACTGAATACACATCGCAGAAGGTGAGTATAGCCGATAAAGAGAATTAAACTTGAATTAAGCAAATAACTAATGACTTGCAATCGAATTTAAACCTTCTAACCTTTCAAACTTCAAAAAACTTCAAACACAACTCTCTACCCAAACTTGATTCATCTCGAAATTGATCACTGAATACACATCGCTGAAGGTTAGTATAGCCGAGATAGAGAATTAAGCATGAATTAAACAAGTAATTAAGACATGCAATCAAAATTAAAGCTTCTAACCTTTCAAACTTCAAAAAACTTCAAACTCAACTCTCTGCTCGATTTGATTCGTCTCAAAACTGATCACTGAATACACATCTCTGAAGGTAGTATAGCCGTATTTGTGAAGAAAATTGTGAGTAAGAAGTGGCGAGAGAAAATTGGGAGCGAAAGATGAAAAGGATGAAGTGAATTTAATTTAATTCAGCCAAATTGTCATATATGGTTAAAAAAAAAATATTGACAAATATAGTAAATATTTTTTAAAAAGTATACGCGTAACTGATTTTTCCTTTTTTATTTGTTATATGTGAAAGTTGCTCTAAAAATATACTATAGTCATTTTTGAAAGTTCTGTTTCCAAATTCTTCACCTGGTATTCTCCATTTCCTCATCCCAAAAAGTTTCTCTCTCTTATGAGTCAATGGCAACCTGGAAATTTCCTCTTCTCCTTCTTGGGCTCTCTCTCCTCGCCGTCTCTGCTACCGCTCGGCCATGCAAAACCCTTTTCTTCTTCACCTCCGCCTCCTATTACCCCATCCCCGCAGCCCACTCTTCAAACCCTAATCCTAATTTCAATCTCCAACACCCTTCCTTTTCTCCCCGATTCTTAACTTTCTTCTTCACAATAGCCCCTTTCCCCGACGATGAAAGCAAATTGCAATATAACAAACCCTCCATTTCCCTCCTGCGTAACTCAATTTTCTCTGGGGAAGAAGATCAGCTTGTTGAAAGAGAAGAAGAAGACGTTTCGAAGCGATCGTCTTCGATGATTCCGGTAGAGTTTTACTCGTCTGTCAAGAGCTCAATTCGTGACCGGACAAAGGATATCATGGGGGTTATGGGAGCTATGCTTTTTGGCGCTGGATGTGGCGCTTTAACAGCTGCAATGATGTACCTGATTTGGTCTCTGTTCTGGCCCACGACCTTGGATTTTGAGGATTCCAGTGATGATCATGCTAGTCCCAAGAAGATGGGGTATGTGGTTCTTCCTACTAAGGTTGTGGATGATGATCTGAAGAAGCCGGCAAAGGATGTGGTTTGAGGGAAACAGTGTAAACAGTTGATCCTTCTCTTTATCTTTAAATACATTTGAATGCATATTATATTAATCAAATGCATTTAAATGTGATGTGATTACATTCGTGTTTATATTACTTTTGATGATTTAAGGGGAAGTTGTAAATTACCATAATCAATGTTATGGAGTAGGTGTCACCTCCATTACATACTAAAGCTTAATTTGATGAACCCGATATATTTGATTATTGATCATCTTTATTGTTTGTTGATTGAATATGTGGCAACGGGCACCTCCCATTGTGTTTAAGAGGTTCATTACTCATTGATTTTGATGGAAAATGTTACCTTTGTGTTCCATTGAATTGTTCTAATATAAGGCAGATGATGCTTTACACAATATCATTATATTTATGGAAATCTATCAAGTGTTTGTAAGTTATTCCATACATCAAAGTTATGATTTTTATCTACGATTGAGGATTGCAGCACGATTCTCTTTACAGTTATGGGTTTTGCATTCTTCGATTTGAAGAAGCTCCTGAACAGAGGTAAGTGGTTGTTTGATTGGTTGCATTAATAATACAAGGTTTGATTTCTGGTACTTTACTTAGAAAAATTCATAGGATATCGCCCTTCATCTTAAAGGAGTTGAACAGACTAGCTATATATGAACAACTTAGAGATTTCTTCGTGCTTCCAATCTACCTTTGGCTTGATCAACAGTCTCTTCTAGTCACCGTAAAGGACATGGTTCCTTCACTGCTTATGATGCACTCTTGATAGCAAGTTTTTTTTGTAAACCTAGATAGGGATTGATTTCTTGTACATATGAAAACTACCTGTCCTTTGTTGAGACATGTGATGGACCTATTTTCTGCATAATTTTTCATGTTTATTTACTCATTTATTAATCATCAAAACTTCATATTGTTCTCCCTAACACATGTAGTTCTCTAGCTCAATAACTTTTATTGAAATGGCTTAGCTAGAAAGACAAACTATTAATAGGTTCCTATGGATCCTTACCATGCTCAAGTTGTTTTGGCTTAAAAACACCTAAAATAAGTTAATTCAAACATGCTAACTTTAGTAGATAATCAATTCAAGAGTATCCCTAACTGGAAGAATATTATTTAGCTGATTGAGAGTAATATTATTTTAGGGGCAAAGGGTCACTAGTCACTGCTATGAGATATAATGTGATGTGTTAATTACGCCTTCATCAAATTTTGAGCAAATTATATATCAAAACATCGAGATGATTTCATACCTAAAATTTGGGACTATTTAGAGGAGATTTTGAATTGGTCGGAAATGAATAGTTAATGTATTCCTCATATATAGTTAATCTATATTCAGTATTTTGAGTACAACATTATGTATAGTCAGTGTATAACTCATGTATATATGTAAGCTATATTTAGCTTTTTGAGTGTCCATAATGTTTAGTTAGTGTATAATTTCTATGACTTTTGGCTATCTTTTGAGATTGTTGATTATGGACTTCTTAATTTTTTACTTTTCTGGAGTGTCTGTCAAGGGCAATGATGCATACTCGGGGTGATCATCATCTGTACCTCACATCTCGACATATATCAATAAAATATGATTATAGTTATTGTAAACTAATTACTTTATTTTATATATTTGAAATCATCTCAATAATGATTTAGGCTTTCTTTGTGTTTTGCTAAGATTAATTTATAGTAGTTATCAAAATGAAATTTGTTGTGATGGTAGAGTCTCATTTTTTCCTATATATAACTTATCATTGGGCCTTGGGACATGCAATTGGACAGAAGTTGCAACTCTTCTTTTTCGGATCCAAATTCCAATGATGCTTGGATAATGAAGGCCTAATTTATTTAGAGAGGGCATGTTGGATGTGTGTACAAGCAAAAGGTGAAATCTTTAGGTTTGTTAAGTTTTTAAAATTGAAACATAGAGAAAAAGAAATCAACTTCAATTATTTTCGTAAACAAACAATTTAAATTATTTTTTATTAATAGTCATCATATAGCAACAATAATAGTGAAATAGTTACAAGGAGAATGATATCTCATAGAGAGACAGAGACGTATATGAACATATGGAAGTTCAACAAATTTTCAGAATAAGAGGAGAATATAGAAAATCAGGCACATTATAAATATATAATATAATTTACTAAGTTATTTTTAAAAAAAGAGCAATATTAAAATAAAAAAACTACTACTTTAATATTGAGATATAATAATTGGAAACAATTACTAATTTTAATCTTGAATTCCTAAAGTGACAATTATAATGAGATATATATTTTTGAGCTAAAGTTATTTTTAATTTGGAATTAAGGAAGTAAAATAATAGATAAAATTTCGTAAATAATATATTATCAACGCCCATTTTTGCAAAAAAAAGTTTACAAAAAGCAAGATTTTGCTATAATTCAAAATGTAGCAAAATATATGTATCCGTACACAGAGAATATCTCATCCTAACTGAAAACTACATTCATATAATATCTAAGAGAAAAGACATAAAATCACCATTGAAGTTGTTCCGAATTTTCAAAAAGACATCTTAACTTTGCGAGTGTCCTATTACCCCATAAAACCATCTAAATCCTCAATAAATATACCGATTAATTTTAACACCACTCATATTGTCACAAAATATGGGCGCGTGAAGGGCTTTTGATACAGCTTCAGACCAACGTAAAATTGTCATGTGGCACTCCCAATTTGATTTATTTTGAAAAAACCCCATAAAAATCCATGTATTGATTTTTTTACCTTTATTAGGAATAGTATTTATTTTTTTAAATCTTTTTTCTCATCTTCCCTACCATCACTAGCTTATCCATATTTCTTGGGGCATATCCATGTCTTCCTTCATTTTTTTTTTCCTTTTTTTCTTTTTTCTTTTTCGTTTTATGGTCAATGTTTTTTTAAAAAAAACTAATGTTGTTGTGTTCATTCTTATTTTTTTATTTATTTTTGAATAACAAATTAGTTTAGTATTTTTTTCCTCCTACAAATCAAGATTGGGATTTTGGAGCAATGAAACTATGGAAAACTTGATTTGAGAGTAAGGAGTTGGAGAAGGTAGTGATTTAAATTCCAGATTTTGACTTGGTGATATTTTGAGTATCTAAATTTTGATTATTTGACGGTGTTTATTTTCATAAATAAATTAATTGGTGGTAATTTAACAAATAATTGATAGTGTTACTGTGAAATCAGTCCCGCCACAACGGGATTGATGATTGTTGCAGCGATGATGAAGAAATGGCTACTTGAAGAACACAAGTTGAGGCGAAGAAGAAAGAGAAAAAGAAAGAAGAAAAAAAAAAGCAAAGAAATCAAATAAAAATAATTAAAAATTACTTTTAACATGTGTCAAGTGATTATTAGTGCGTGGCTTACAAATATTTTTGTGTAAGTGGTATTGGGTGAAAAATGGGGTATACATACTATTTTGAAGTTGTTCAATGGGGTAATAGGACATTCGCAAAGTTAAAGTGTCTTTTTGAAAAGTCGGGACAACTTCAATGGTTACTTTATGTCTTTTCTCAATATCTAATTGTAATTGTATGTATCATGTATGTGTGGTCAACTATACATGTGTGTGTGTTTTCAAAGCAGAAATATATACTTTAAAATTACATAATTCTAATAATGTTAAATAATTTTTCAAAGTACCATTATAAAGAGTAATATGTGGATCGAAATTGCTAGTTTGGATAACTTTTGTAAGAAAAAAGACATGGAAGCCTTTAGAAATGAGGCAATTATTGTATGAGGCACAAAGAAAAGAAGAAGAAGAGACAATGGGAAGTGTAGAAGCAAAAGTGTTCTCTCTATTTTTTGTAGTTGAGACATAAAAATTGAAAGGCAATTGAGCAGTTTTGCTGAAGTTGTCAAAAAATCCGACACCCTTGCAATCATCATTCATATTTTCATACCATGTCCAAATTAAACCTTAACCTCACCAAACATTAAAATCATGCCAATCACAAGTCATCTTTTTTTTTGAGACATTATCAATTACAACAACCTCATTGAGTGTCATCACATTTCTAGATAATGATGATGTTTATAAATAAGGCAATATTACTCCACTATATTATCAATATATTGTGTGTATTCTCTTATATTTTTTATTACATAAGAAAGAGTTGAGGCTGAAGTGGACAAGTTTCTATCAACGTGTCTATTTGAGTATACTTTTGGAAAGAGTTATCAAAAAATATTTTTTGTTATATTTTAATTTAATTAGTGTATAATAAAATAATGGCACTCACCCCTTAAATTTTTTATATTAATAATATTGCTCAGATATTTATTTATATTTAATGAGATGATTTCAAATCGTTTAATTAGCATCACTTAAAAAATTATGAATGAATATTGGACTCGTATATAATATGATTTTTTTCGTAACTAGCACAAAAACAATTGACACCTTTTTCATTTCATTAATTGTGAAAACAAATTCTCAAAATAAAGACTTTATCAATTCATACTAAAAAACATATTGTGTTCATATATGTTGAATGGATAAATCGATCAAAAGTGCGCCATATTTATCAGGAGGCTAATAGGTGAAAAAGCATGATTTAAATTAATAGTAATAACTATTGTTATAAATACAATTGTTTATAAAGATAACTTTATCTTGAAAATAAATTATTTTTTACTTTTGCTTTTTGGGAAAGCAAATATTTATGACTTCTAACTTCTTCCAACAATAAAAATTGCTTATGTTACTATTTAAAAAAACTTTTAATTATAGCCAAACACTTTAAGGGGTCGTTTGGTTTGAATATGAGTTATGATGGGATAAGTTATGTTGGGATAAGTTATGTTGGGATTAGTTATGATGGGATAAGTTGTCCTGGGATTATTTCTTATTGAGTGTTTGGTTTGTTATATTCAAAATAATATATATTGATAAATTTTAAGAACAAGTTGTTTGTTTACAAAATTACCCTTCACTTTATTTAAACTTTTTAAATTTTTCTTTGTGAGCTTTAGTTATTC